TAATGTGTTTTCCATTCAAACTATATTATCTAATTACTTATGTTTTATATTTTGTTTTAAATACTTTTTATCTTGATGTATTTTGATTTTTCATCTCTAGTCAACAATATTTATGATTCGATCTTTAAGTGTTTATTTTTAAAAAAATATTTCATTTGTTTTATTCTTTCGCTCCCACTGGAGAAGATTTCTAGATCCGTCCCTGGCTCCACCTACATGGACTTCTCTTATATCCATCATCAATTCAAAAAAGGCAAATGACAAATGCATTAATTTCTTGAAATTTGTGACCTATTCATCCTTTATATATGTTAACTTTATACATGAAGTATTTTTTTCATGGTGCCCAGGGCCTATAAATTGATAAGACTGACAAAGTTTATCATTTTCAATACAGTATGTTTATAGAGAGACTAATAGATTAATATATAGTGAGTTTTTTCTCAAAATAGTCTCTCGACTGTCGTTCATTCTCAATTTTATATTTTGACTTTTAATTGCACCTAATGTGGTCCATTGACTTTTAAAAATTACTTCAAATTGATCCTCCGTTACATTTTGCATCAAACAGCCGTTAAGTTGGGGCTATTTTGGTCCATTCCACCCAATTTGACGATTTTGTTCATCAACATCGTGAATCATGGAGCTTTGATTTTCAAGGAGGAAGCCGCGGCCAAGGATCCCCGAATCTCCGGCACGCTCGACATGTGCAAGGCGGTGCTACTGTGACAACCCATAAATAATTTTCTTAAATTCTATTTTACAAAATTCTAAAATATTTATTTTCACTCTTCCAAAATTATTTCGAAAACGGTGTATGAATTAAATATTTTTAAATCGAGTTTTTAAATAAATTCAACACCAAGAAGTATCCTATTTTGAAAATCCTAAGTTTCGGGTACATTTATGTACCAAGTTTTGACCCAAAAGGTCAATCTGAGTGAAACCTGAGAGGAACCTGTGAAACCTGAAACAAGTGTTTTAACTAAAAACTATTTTCAAAAAATCTATTTTTGACCCCAAGTTGTCTAAAATCATTTTTGAGACCTTGGTCCATGATACAAGGTGAACCTTGATATTTCTTCAAGCCTTTGTCTGATATTTTAGAAGCAAGCAAAAAATTACCCTTTTAACCTCAACCAATCATTTGAGTCGTTCTACCTAGGGTTTTGGACCCTATAAAATCTCCACTATTCCATTGCCTTCATCTGATCCCTTTCTTTTGGCCTCTCCACTCTTTGAGCTCTGTAGATTGAAGAAGAACATCATAGTAAGAATTCTAGCTTCCATTCTCATCCATTCATTTCATCTTCCCTTCTAGTTCTTTCATCCTTTGCCTTCAAACTTTGAGATTCTCTCTTTAAGCTTTGTATGTGTTGTTTGTTTGAGGAGAATAGGTGGTGAAGGAGGTAGTAGTTGAGTTGAGAGGAAAGGGAGATCCACACAAGAAGAAGAAGAAGCACGAGGTATAAATCATGGACTCCCAAACTAGTTTTGGCTTTGTTAAATGTTATAAGTGTGAAATAGATGTTTAGAAATGCTAGATAATGTTTACTTTTAAGCTATTTGTGTGTTGTTGATGATTTATGATTGATTTATTGAGGTTTGGAAGTGTTGTTGTTGATTTGTTGTTGCCTACAGGTGAAGAAGTTTGGGTTTGGTGCACACAGATGGTGCACCAGTAATCCCAACGGATTTAGCCAACGGACCTTGGCAAGGTCCGCTGGCTAGAGCCGTGAAGCCACGGACCAAGGCAACGGATCCCAGTTGGATCCGTTGCCAAGCGCCGCTGCTTGGCGGAGCCAAGTGGCGGGGCTTCACAAGCCCCGCCACCAAGCTCCGCCAGGCCAAAGATTGTTCTGGTCGGGCCCTCTGTGACTCAACTACGTGTCGTTCAGACCGGGACTCGTGGGCCCTTGAGGCTCGAACACTCGGACTCGTTACGACACACTAGTAGAAGTTCATTTCGTTTGTTTTGGAGTTAGAAAGCATGTTAAACAGTTAGAAAGTTTGAAGATGAATGCTCTGTTGTTTGTTATCTGTGAACTTATATCAGTAAATGAGATTGTAGCATTTGAGTATTGTTATTTGATTGAGAAGTATATCTAAATACTTGATAATATTTATTAAGAAGTTTTGCTAAGTTATTGAGAGTTGACATAAACAATGCATTATTTCCTTGTTTCACAGTGAATGAGATTTAGAGCGTATTTCACAGTAAAAAGCATGTTAGCATATTTAAAGGTTTAAAGTGCATAAATGGCTCTAAGTAAAGCCTAAGTTCTATTTCAAAAACTTATATCTATTTTGGAAAATCACTATCTAGTTGCATTGAGAAGATTGCATGATATTTGATTTCCAAAATGTGAGAAAGAGAACAAGTTGAGATTTATGTGCATTGCAAAGCTTGCATATGTTAGAGTTTATTGTATGAGAAAGAGGTTGCATGAGTTATATCTATATGCTATCTATTGTGAGGAAAATAGTGTTTTGGAAGACCGTTAGGACTATGTCGTTTCGGAAGAAAAGAGAAGAAAGAAGTTATGAGAAAGGAAAGAAACGATCATAGAGGACCGACATATATTTAGAAGTAACAAGGTCGATATTCCCGAGTTACTAGGTTGGATACTACTCGCTGGGCTTGGAATCCCTGTTAGGGGGTGTGCACACTGAAAGTACGATACCTGATTCTACAGAGAAAGAAAGAAAGAAAGAAAGATTAAGAACCACCAATACCGGTTCTGTGGGCGAGTTGAGTACTAAGCCGGCTGGATTGCCGATCCCATATAGGTCCATTCACGATTCGTGAATGTCCTACCTTCCCCACGAGTTAGAGGTTCCGTTGATACGGATGTGGCGGCTGCAAGAGTTGCACCATTCGCTAGGGCTTTGCTACGACGGAGTACATACCTCACACAAAGAAGAGAAAAGAGAATAATGAGAAAGATTGAGAAAGAAGAAAGAAAGCAAGTAAGAAAGAAGAGAAAAGTGAGTCAAGTGACTCAACAGAAAGTAAGAGAGAAAGAAAGAAAGAAGATAAAAGTGAGTCAAGAGGCTCAACAGAAACCTCCACATAAATTGTTCTTTTTACATAAGAGCGAAAGTATATATATACTTATAGCATCATGACATATCTTGTTACATGACTTGCACGTTTTGCATTTAGAGAATGATGAGAAGTATAGTTTTTGTTGTTGCTTATGAGTTGACATGATAACATGATCTTACTTGTTGAGTTGAAGTTATCTCTTTATATATCAGTTTGAGCTATGTTTAGAGTTATCTGTTCAAAGCATGAGATTTGTGATTAAGTTGAGTATTTGAGAAGAACTTGATTATATGAAGTATATGTTGCAAGCATATAGAGTTGTTTATGAGCATGTATTGAGATTGTTGGCTAAGTGTTGTAAATGAGTATGTTCATACTTGAGATTACGTGTGATTGCCAAATGTTTTCCAAATCTATATCTATAGTACTTTACAGGGTTGAGTGGCTTTATACTTAGTACGTGGAGTCTCCAATCTGCCAGAAACTATCCTAGAATCTTGAGGAATAAAGGTTTTACCTTGCACCATAGAGTCAGATGATGAACCTTGGCCAAGAGTAGTTTAAACCTGAGAATATGGAGCCTTGGTTTTGCAACGTCTCCGCCTGCCACAAGCCACTAATCTTGCCCAAAAGGTGGGCGATCAACAAATTGGCGATGGTGATCAACATCCCTAGCATCCCTGACTCCAACGGTGGACTCCGATTGCTCATGCAAGGCCTCGATCGACGGGTGGCGGTGGTCAACGAAACCGGAGTCGCGACCAACCTCGCATCCAACGAAAATCGTCGATGATTTTCCGATTACATGAAGCCTCCAGAAAATCAGGACCAACCTCGCATTTACCCTTCCAGCCGGAAGGAACTGATGATAGCCCCTCTTCGGAAAAGCTAGGCCTCTCCGGCCAGATTCCGGTGTCCAGAACCCCCACTATAACATCATCGGCGTAATCAGAGTTTGGCCAGAGGCCAAAAAATTCAGCCAAGCCTAAAAACTAAGGTGTGTGAGTGGTGTGAAGTTGTCGAACTTTATCTGGAAGGACAGAGATCACGCTGGGAAAGCTCCATAGCTGAGACGTGACGCGGCCATACGAGTACAAGAGCTCAGATGGGTGAATGGACGAAAATACCCGTAATATTAACGGTCAATTGACGCAAAAGGTAACAGAAGACCAATTTGGGGTAGTTTTTAAAAATCAAGGGACCACATTGGGTGCAATTGAAAGTCGAAATGCAAAATTGAGAATGAGCGATAATCTAGGGACTATTTTAGAAAAAAACTCTAGGTATGTAGTTTGAATGACCTTACCCTTATTCATAATCTACCACTTAGAAATCAATTGAATTATTCATATGGTTTAGATTAATTTAAAAAAAAAACACTAGAGCATTCTATACTTTTCTAGAAAGATAATTGTGAACATGTTTATTTTTGTTTTTATTTTTCATTTTCTATTTTTAGAAAAATAAAAATTTTATTCAATTCATTAACTGGCTCTAGAAGGTGCCTCGAAAATCGATTCCTTTAAAAGACTAAAACGTGTCAAAATCTAGTGTGTAGCTCCATTATCTTCAGGTGGACGTACCAACTGAGAATCACTGCTCAGTCTACACTCTCGCTTCAACCTCCCCAAAACCCGATCTCCCTTAACGTCGCCAGTCGCCACCCTTATAACACAGTCGACGCTTCTCGAGCTCGCTTTTGGAGCGTCTAGTTATCTCTCAGTCTTCGATTAAAGGTATGAGCTTTGTTTATACTGTGATATTACAGATGTAAGATTCATAATCGTGTATTAACTTGCTTGATTGTTGAAGCGGATCCATCTGCATGATTCGATTGTTTCATTTCGTGCTTTAATGCTTTTTCTATTCGAACTTTATATTATCATTATAGAGAATAGATCTCTGGTTTTTTTCACATACGGATGATTTGCATACATTGTAGGATTTGTAGGTGAAGAGAGGAAGTGACAGGTAAACCATGGCCGTGGGAGGCTATTGGAGGCGAGGTGGTTCGGTCGTCGTGCTAGCGATCGTCTTCATTGGTAAGAATTGTTGTTTCTGTTTTGCTCATTGAGCTGCTGCAAGCTTGCCGAATAGATCTGTGTATTTATTTATAGCTTATAATGATGTGATATGGAGATTAGCGGAGTAGATCTAGATCTGTAACTTTCTAAATTTGTTTGTTTGATTAGATTAGATTAGATTGTCTAAATCTGGGTGATAGTTTCATCCTTAATTTAAGTCATCTGTGTTACCACGAGTACGTGAGACTTTGAAGACAATTCATTGACTTTATTTTAAAAGTCAAACAGAATGTGGAGTAGCCTTCTTCTATAGCTCCAACACTTTATAGTTTCGGTTTATACCCAGCTATGGACTTGCATAGTCAAGTTGTAAACAGAAATCCAGACCATAAAGAACAGCCTCTGTATCACACAATATCTTAATCAGTTGCGGGCTGTTTCTAATTCTCTGAATTTAAATGGATCTCCAGTTTATTTGAACCCGGCTATATACTTACAGACTTCAGGTGATAATTGAATTGCCCTGGGAATTTTTTACAGCTTACTCGTAATTTCTGGACATTTCAAGTTCTTTCATTTGCTGAGGCTCAGACAATTTTACTCATGCATGAATCACAAAGCTCTATCTAAAATAGTCTTCTTTATAAATCAAAGTTTGTGTGTTCATGTGGTTTGCTGATTTCATTCAATCATTCTTAAGTCCTCTTATTAGTTATTACTCACAAACTTGTGAAAAACTTATGCCATGTGGATTTGAATTTGAATGGAGCTGAAATGAGTTTATGCTGACTGGCTCGTTTATATAATAGGATGTCTATCTGCAATTTCTATCGCAAAGGAGGAGGCAACAAAATTAGGAACTGTTATTGGAATTGATCTTGGAACAACTTACTCCTGTGTTGGTGTTTACAAGAATGGTCATGTTGAAATCATAGCAAATGATCAAGGAAATCGTATTACACCATCATGGGTGGCATTCACTGACACAGAAAGATTGATTGGTGAGGCTGCAAAGAACCAGGCAGCTGTCAACCATGAAAGGACTATCTTTGATGTTAAGAGGCTTATTGGAAGAAAGTAATGTCCAGTTTTGTAATATGTTGAAAAGCCTTATCCTTTTTGCTTGTGTTGGAAGTATACTTATAGTTGCTATGCACTGTTGACAGGTTTGAGGATAAGGAAGTCCAGAGGGATATGAAGCTTGTTCCTTACAAGATTATTAACAAGGATGGCAAGCCTTATATACAAGTCAAAATCAGAGATGGGGAAGTTAAAGTCTTCAGCCCTGAGGAAATCAGTGCCATGATTCTAACAAAGATGAAGGAGACAGCTGAAGCATTCCTTGGGAAGAAAATTAAGGATGCTGTTGTTACTGTGCCTGGTATATATTACAACTCTTTAAGCTATGACTTGATCAATTTTATCACACATTATAACATGTTAATTGCTTCAACTTATTAAATTTTGGCTTACATCTACTAAATATCCTGCAGCATACTTCAATGATGCTCAAAGGCAAGCTACCAAGGATGCTGGTATTATTGCTGGACTTAATGTTGCAAGAATTATTAATGAACCAACTGCTGCTGCCATTGCCTATGGACTGGACAAGAAAGGTGGTGAGAAAAACATCCTCGTATTTGATCTTGGTGGTGGAACATTTGATGTCAGTATCTTGACCATTGATAATGGTGTCTTCGAGGTTCTTTCCACTAATGGTGACACCCATCTCGGAGGTGAGGATCTTACACCGCATTGGATTCATTTCTTGTTTGAATAAATAATTGCCTCTTGTAAGTAGTGTCTGGAATTATGTTCATGCTATTTGCGGTTCACCAATTATGGGCCATTTATTCTGAAGATAATAGTGTTAATACTAGAGTAATACTTATTCTCTACTTGTGCTTCCTTCTATCCCTCTATGGAGTCTTGGAAGGGAAGCGCACACCCCTGCACTACTTCTTTCTTGTCCAATAGTAATGGCATAGTCTAAGCTGTGAAATTAGATGGGATTGTGATGTTGGGATGTTAACAGCCTTATTTAGTTATCAATATTCTCATCAATGAGAACCTTACTTGGTTATCAATCTTCTCATCAATGAGAAAGATTTAATGCTTGTGAAAGTAATCTGGCTAAAATTGTGTGTTGGAACTCCTTTGTTCTTGCAGGTGAGGATTTTGATCAAAGGATCATGGAGTACTTTATCAAGCTGATCAAGAAGAAGTATGGAAAGGACATTAGCAAGGATAACAGGGCTCTTGGAAAGCTTAGAAGAGAGAGTGAGCGTGCCAAGAGGGCATTGAGCAGTCAGCACCAGGTCCGAGTTGAAATCGAATCACTCTTTGATGGTGTTGATTTCTCTGAGCCATTGACTCGTGCTCGCTTTGAGGAGTTGAACAATGATCTCTTCAGGAAGACAATGGGACCTGTGAAGAAAGCTATGGAAGATGCTGGATTGGAGAAGAACCAAATTGATGAGATTGTTCTTGTTGGTGGAAGCACCAGAATTCCAAAGGTTCAACAGCTCCTGAAGGATTACTTTGATGGTAAGGAGCCTAACAAGGGTGTGAACCCAGATGAGGCAGTTGCATTTGGTGCTGCTGTACAAGGTGGTATTCTAAGCGGAGAAGGTGGTGATGAAACAAAAGGTACTCTTTACTTGAAATCATCACATATTTTAACCATTATCGTGTGTGATCATGATAAGAGTTGATGTTATGAGATTTACATATTGTTTACCAATTGTAGATATTCTTCTGTTGGATGTGGCTCCACTTACCCTTGGTATTGAAACTGTCGGTGGAGTGATGACCAAATTGATTCCTAGGAACACTGTGATTCCAACCAAGAAATCCCAAGTTTTCACTACTTACCAAGACCAACAGACCACCGTCTCCATTCAGGTAATACACAATGAATAAACAGATATTTGTAATGCCATTTTTCTCAACATCAATGGATATTTGTGTTCTTCTGTATGCTTGTAGTTTCACTTGTTCCTAATTTTTTGACAGGTTTACGAAGGTGAAAGAAGTCTTACCAAGGACAACAGACTGCTTGGAAAGTTTGATCTTACTGGAATTCCTCCTGCTCCAAGGTTTGTGCAATTGGCTAAACATTAGAAGAATTATTATTTCAGCTTCTGTTAGTGATCCGTGATTCGAGTGTGATTCTACTTGAACAGGGGAACCCCTCAAATTGAAGTCACATTTGAGGTTGATGCAAATGGTATCTTGAATGTTAAAGCTGAAGACAAAGGCACTGGTAAATCAGAGAAGATAACCATCACCAATGACAAGGGCCGCCTGAGTCAAGAGGAGATCGAACGCATGGTTCGCGAGGCAGAAGAGTTTGCTGAGGAAGACAAGAAAGTAAAGGAGAGGATCGATGCCCGTAACAGTCTGGAAACCTATGTGTACAACATGAAGAACCAAATCAATGACAAGGACAAGCTTGCTGATAAGCTTGAATCTGAAGAGAAGGAGAAGATCGAGACAGCTGTGAAGGAGGCCCTCGAGTGGTTAGACGACAACCAGAATGCCGAAAAAGAGGACTTTGATGAGAAGCTTAAAGAAGTGGAGGCGGTTTGCAATCCAATTATTTCGGCTGTGTACCAAAGATCAGGTGGTGCCCCAGGTGGTGGATCATCATCAGAAGACGATGATGCTCATGATGAGCTGTAGACAGACGATGATGAAGAGTACGTACGTGTTGAGGCGCATAGGATACTAGGTGAGGGATGAGTTTAGCGTAAATCTTCTGTGTCCGGAATTTCAAGTGAAGAGATTTCACCCACTTTGCTTGTTTTTGTTGAAAGGAAGAATACTCGAGCAAGATATTTCCATTTACATGAAACAAATGGTACTTCTTGAGATTTTTAACCAATTCTCTTTTCTCTTGCTGTTTCTAATTGCCTGGGCTAGCTACTTAAATGTGGTGTATGATGAATTTATGGCTTATTTGGTTCACACAGGAAAAATAATTTTTTTTCTTCAAATTTGAAAAAAAAAAAAATAGATTTTAGAGAATTTATTTCAATGGAAAATAAGTTCTTCAAAACTGAGGAAATAAATTTCGAGAAAATCAACAACTTGAAGATGCTACGTTGAATTTCTTACTCACCCGTTCTTTCACAACAATACTTGAAAAAAAAATCGTATAGTGGAGACGTGGAGTAGATATATAAGCATATAGCTCTAGTGATCCTGTCATCACCTCGATTGCATTTACAATTGTACATGGAAACTATAATGTATTGGGAAAAGGGTCAAATAAGCCCTCAAACATTTGATAAAGAGTCAATTAGTCCTTTTAACTTTTTAAAGGTGCAATTAAACTCATAAACAATGCACATTTTGATGCAATGAAACCCAAATACAGGTAAATGATCTGTTACCATAGGTCATTGAAGATCCGGCAATTTTCTGACATATTTTCAGGCAAAAAAGTGATCGGCGACTGTTGGTCACCGCTCGTGAACTCCAGTGACCACAGTGGTCACCGGAGTTCGTGACTAGCGACCGCTCGACGGTCGCCGGTCACTTTTTTGCCTGAAAATACACTGGCAACCGCTCGATGAACGCCAGTCACTTTTTTGCCTAAAAATACATTGGAAAATTTGTCAGAAAATGGTCGGATCTTCAATAACCTATGATAGCAGGTCATTTACCTGTATTTGACTTTATTGCATCAAAATGCATTGTTTATGAGTGTAGCACCTAAGTAGATTTATCTACTTGTGAACTTTTGCCTATTAGAGTCACAAGGTAAGATTTATCTAAATATGATTTATCTAGTGCACACACTCTAATAGTAACTACAAATTTTTTCTCTTCACTCCAAAAAAAAAAAAATAAAAAATTACTATATGATAAATGACAATCATCAAAACATTCAAAAGGTTAAATTGATATTATAAACCTATAGTCACATCACAGAATTAAATAAATAAATAAATTAATTAATTTAACAATTTTGATAAGTCATACAATGTGTCGTATTTTATTATCAATCAAATAATTAATTGGCAATAATTTTACTTATATTTGTATGATATTATCAATTTCACTCTTTTTTTTTTGGTCAAATTTTTATTTAGTCCACGGTATCGATCCAGTGAATAAGAAATCTCACTTAATACTTATATTACTATAATAAGTATTATAACTAATTTTACTTTTGATCCCACGACTTTTGAGGTTCTATCACCTTTGGTACACAACTTTAAAAAATTTCAATTTTGGTGCCTAACTTTGTTATTTTTATCAGTTTTGGTCCTTTCAGCCAAATTGACAGTGAAATGTTGCCGAATTTTATATTTTTAGGGGTAAAATATAATCGTCATCCCAATGAAACATCTTCAATATCTAAACAAAATCACTGTAAAATCATATCTATAAGTGTTTGATCGATGAGAATAATAGAGAAGATAGGCAAAAACTACTCACTAGACACAGATCTATGGGATTTATAGCATCGACGATTGGCAAATCCTTCTTTTTATCTTAATATGATTTTTCTTTTGTTTAGATATTTAAGATGTTTCCTTGTGATGACTATTTTGCCCCTAAAATATAAAATTCGAAAATATTTTACCGTCAATTTGGCCAAAAGGATTAAAATTACAAAATTAGGCACTAAAATTGAAAAAATTTACAGTTATACATTAAATGTGATAAGACCTCAAAAATTGTGAGATCAAAAGTGAAATTAATTCTAAGTATTAATACTAGTAATTTTTATTTTTTTTTTGAAATAACAACAATTCATTAATCATAAATACGGTTACAACAACATTTTTTTTTTTTTTTTGAAGTATTAATACACAATTTTGACAAGTCATACAATGTGTGGTATTTTTTATGTCATACGATTTTGATAGTTTGTTGGGAATAATGCAAGATGGTTTGAAGGCCGGGGTGGGATCTGATGTCATCGGGCATTATTTCACTTTTTGGAATCTAAGTTTAAGTCAAAGGCTCTTTCTTTTTTTCAAAACAAAAGTTTAAGTCAAAGGCTACGGATCCCCATGCATGTGAATATGTGATCAAAATTCTTGACATTTTCATATACTCTCATTTTATATTCTGAAATTTTACTTTTCCACATAAAATTTTAGAGTTAATTCCAGCAATGGTCATCCGACTATGTTAATTTTTCACAATTGGTCATTGACTTTTAATTTGGACAATTTAGACACTTGACTTTTGAAATCTTTCCAATATTGGTGTTTCCGTTAAGTGAATATTAGTTTAAGGGATAAAGTAGTCATTTCACGTGCTTAGAGTATAATTCACCTTCCTTGGTCGCGGGGCATGTCTGTGAAGACTGGCGAAGAGGTTTGTGAAGGTGCAACGGAATAGAAACGCTTTCATGCAGGACTTGATCGAAGACTGGCGGAAACAAATTGCAGAAAACATCAGTACTGGGGATATTGGGAAGAAGAAATCATTTGTTCAAGTGCTGCTGACATTATATTCTAAGAAAACGAACATGAATATTACCAGGATCGATCAGAGTATCTTATCTCATCTTAAATCTAATGTTTAAATTCCTATTTTCAATATAGTCTTACACTAGCTTGCACTTCTGCACAGGTTATGTTAGCAGCAGGAACAGAGACATCGTGGAGTGGGAACTATCACTTCTGCTAAACCACCCACAAATCTTGAAGGAAATCGATGATTTGACCTGACTGAAGCGATTAATCCAGGAATCGGATTTGGGTAACCTGCACTGCGTACTGAACGAAATAATGAGAATGTTCACTGCTGTTAGTCCCACACGATCCGAGTCCTCAGATGAGTGCACCGTTCGGTGGCTACCATGTCCCCGCTGGCACAATGCTGATGATCAACGTGTATTGAAGGAGATAAAATCATATACGACAGTTGTATGGAATGGGCAAAATCATGAGGATGCGGATGAGGATGCCATGGAAATTAAAGCGTGTATTATTTTGAAGGAAGTAGGGGTTGTCTTGGTCGTGGAACCAAGCTGGGTTGTCAACTAAGATCAAATCAAGAATGGCTAGGAGGGAGATTGTGTAGGTGGCCTGGGCGTGGAGGAAGCATGGCTCGATCGGTATCTGAATGAAAATTAATTGAATGATGGGGGTTGGAACATCTAGCTTTGAATCAAAGGTGGTGGACCTCTGGAATTGCATGATCTGTCTGGGACCTTTAACATGAAAATTGAACTTGGGAGGTATGGTTTGCACAAGCTGCTGGTGCTTTACGTTGGCAGTGATCGAGGTGCTGGGAATCTGTTGGTCCATCCAGCTTGGTGGACCTCAATGGAAGTGTTGGCAGTCAGGTTCGAAGGCTGGCTCTGAAAGAAGAGTGAGTTATGTTGTGTGAATTGGATTAACTATGCCCAAAGCTTCGCCGTTGACGGCCAACTGCAAGACGCGACCTGCGCGGCTTGCGTCGCCCATCTGCTTTCTCAGATTGGACTCTAGAAACATGGCGGCAAACATGTTTTTTGGTGGAGGACGATTGTTGCAGACACGCCGGAAAACAGTGCGGCCACCAAGAAAGGTGAATTATACTCTAAGCAAGTGAAATGACTACTTTACCCCTCAAACTAACATCCACTTAACCTTCAACTAACGGAAGGACCAACATTGGAAAGATTTCAAAAGTCAAGTGTCTAAATTGTCCAAATTAAAAGTCAAGGACTAATTGTGGAAAATCAACATAGTCAGAGAACCATTACTGAAATTAACTCTAAAATTTTAATATAAACACTTGTATTGATATTCATATAAAAAAGAGTAGTTTATCAATGCCCGTAACATCAAACAATAAAATTTAAAGAGTAAAATTTATGAGTCCGTATAATAAAATTCTTTTCATATATATTCCTCGATTTGGTATTCATGGGAACTCACAAAATTCAATGTGAAACCAGACATGTAATCCATGCATGCATGCGGTCAGACTATTTAAGCACAACACTAAAGTGCAGTGGAAGACACTGGCTAATGCATGCCATAACTTGCATGCATGCATGCCATAACTTGCATGCATGCATGCCTACTTCACACCTCCAAAATGGATTCCAATAATTGCTTGAATTGGTCAAGATTTTAATTTGGTTAAGTCATTCGATAACCGCTCCACAATTGTCTAGCATAGCAATCACGAATTGACAGGAATTGGAAATTCGGAATAATTCAAAGGAGTTAATACCTCCAATGATCCTCTTAGTATTGAGGTATTACCAACTGTGGTTTCCCAATTTTAAAACGACCAGACGTCTTCCTAGTTGCAAAAAATAACCAACTGTGATCCTCCGTTAATTTTTCTGTCAAAAGGACATTAAGTGGGAGGACAAATTTGTTATTTTACTTGACTTTCACACCCACCCCTCTCGGCAGAGGCGCGAAGCGAAGAAAGAAAGAAGTGAAGGGTCAGCCTCTTCTCTCTCTATTAGACCAATCTGTTTTTTGTATTTCTCTGTTAGATCTTTACTCGTATTCGTTTTGTCTTTTGTTTCTTGAAATTAGATGATCTGTTAATTATTCAACAATTCGCATTAATCCTGAGAGGGGGATAAGTAAGCACGATACAAAGCTCTGAATTTCGCGAAATAATCTTTGATAAAGTTCTTTGTGCTTGTGGATTTGCAGACAGGGAAAAAGTAGGACTCTCATTCAAGTATTTAAAGGTGCGTTTTTTCGGGGGAAGGGTTTTAGAGGGGACGGTGAGCTTCAGATGGGTAATTCAAAAATAGAGGGGTCGTATACATCGGCGCTGAGGAGAGAACCTTACGAGGTTTTGTCTGTTTCGAGGGATTCTTCTTATCAGGAGATTAAGGCTCTGTTTGGTAAATGGCTATTAGCTTATAGCTGTTAGCTGATTGGGTTAATTAGATGGTATAAC